GTTGTGGTATATCCATCTACATGGACAGAAAAAAGGATGAAGTATAGTGATTTTCAACAAATTGAGGGAGTTTAAGTGAATTGAGTGTAATAAAGCAAGTCAAATGATAAAAAAAATCAGACATTTGCAAAGCAATCTGGTAATAACACTTTCAAAAGCAGGTAGACATAAATAAAATTTATGAGGGATTGAGATTAAGCGGGAAGATGGAGGAAAAGGAACAGGGGCTAAAAAGATTGGTGGGAAAAATTTTACAAATAAAAATGCATTTTTTTAATTGAGGTAATGTTTGTTTATAACATTAAATGTTATACAGTGGTACAGACCTATACCTCTTCAAATGCGTGTTCCTACACTACACCCAGGACCAAAGCATTTATAGTCCTCCACTAGTCAATTGGGTCCTACATGCTTTAACCCCACCCCCACACTCACCCTCTGGTAGCATCAATTCTACTGTCAAATTTCTGAAGTGGTTTTTGTTTAAATTTTTTTCTGTTTCTGACTTATTTCACTTAGCACAATTCTTTCCAGGTGTAACCATGTTATTGCAAATTGAAGGATTTCATGAATAGTACTCCACTTTATAACTACCACATTTTCTTAATCTATTCCTCTGTGGTTGGGCACTTAGGGTTCTTCCCATAACTTTGTTATTGTAAATGTGATGAAATGAACATAGGATTGCATATGTCTCTTCAAAGTAGTGGGGAATTTTTTTGTTTGCTTCTTTTGGTAGATATCTAGGAATGGGTTTGGTGAGTCTTGGTATATATTTATTTAATATTTAGATAAACCTATACACTGTTTTTCCAGAGACTCTTTGGTCTATGTTCCTACCAACAGTATATGAGGATACTTTTTTCTCCACACCTTTCCCAACACTTATTGTTTCTGGCCTTTATGATATGGACCAGTTTCTAGGGCATAAATTGGTCTTTCATTTGATTTTGATTTGTATTTTCCTGAAGATAAGTGATGATGAGCATTTTTTCATCTGCCTGTTGGTAATCTATTTATCTCCTTTAGAAAAATGTTTCCTTAGCTCCTCTGTATATTTTTATTTGTTTTCATTGCATTTTATGAGTTCTTTGTAAATCTTGATTATTAGCCCTTTGTCAGTGTTTCCTCCCATTCTGTATTTCAATGATAGCTTGCGTATTTGTCCATAAGTTTTATAATTTGATGAAGTCCCCCTTGTTTGTTTGCTTTTGATTCACTACTGTTGGAGTCAAGTCCCTAAATATACACCTGAAGTCCATGTCATTACTGTTTTTACTTTTCCTTCTATATAGTTTATGGTTTCAGGTCTTACATCTAAATTTTAATCTATTTTTGCTAATTTTTATGTAAGGTGAAATAGTGGCCTCACTTCATGCTCTTGTATATGGCAGTCCAGGTTTCCTAGTGTCAATTATGAAGAGATTTCCCATATCTCTATTGTGTTCTCTTGGCTCCTTTGTCAGAAAAACTGTCCACTTAAATGTGGGTTTTTGGGCCCTGAATTCTTTTGCTCTATTGCATTGGTCTCTGTGTCTATATTTAATCCAATGCTAATTTCTTTTGGTAACTATAATTTTGTTATAAAATTGAAAAGTGTGAATGAGTTCTGTCTTTTTTTGATCACTATTATTTTGACTATACAGTATCTTTTTGCGGTTTCATGTAAATTTCAGAAATGTATGCTCTATTTTTTTTTTTTTTTGAAGAATGACAATGCAATGTTGATAGGTATTGTATTGAATCTATATTGTTTTGGGTGAGGTGACCATTTTAGTAATGTTAATTCTTCTAGTCCATGAGCAGGGAATATTATCATTTTTATGTCTTCTATTGCTTTTAATGATATCATTGAAAAGATCTTTTATTTCTGTTGTTAAGTTTATTCCTACATAATTATTTTATCTATGACTGAAAAAGTTTTTTTTTGCTTTCTCTTTTATTGCTCTTATTTAAGAATTAATGAGATATTTCTATATTGATTTATATCTGTCATCTCACTGTGCTGATTTACTGTTTCTAAAAAGTTTTTTTTAACTGATTTTGAGGGTTTTCTATACATGCTATCATGTTACCTACAACTAGTAATAATTCACTTTGTTTTCATTTTAGATTCCTTTTATAGCTTTCTTTTGCCTAATTTCTTTATCAAGTATTTCCAATATTATGTTGAATAGTAGTGATGAAAGTGGACATCCTTGACTTGTACTGATATTAGAGGAAAAACATTCAGATTTTTACCATTGAGTATGAGGTTAGTTGTGATTTGTCAAGTATTTTGTGAAGTATATTTCTTCTATCCCCCCTTTTGAAAGTTGTTTTCATAAATGGATGTTGAATTATATCAAATGTTCTTTTTGCATCTGTGTATATGATTATATATTTTTATCTTTTTTTGAGGTGGTGAATTATACTATTGATTTGTGTATGTTGAACTATCTTTGATTTTCTGAAATAAATCTTAATTGGTCATGAAATATGATCTCTTAAATTGGCTATTGAGTTTGATCTGCTATAATGTTGAGGATTCTTGTATATTTGTTTATGAGAGATATTGATTTATAGTTTTCTTGTGGTGTCTTTGTCTTCTTTTGGAATCAGTGTAATGTTGACCACTAAAATGTGTTTGGGAACATTTCTTCTTTCTCAGTTTTTCAGTTTCACTAGTGAGCCATCTGATTCTGAGCTTATATTTTGGAGAATTTTGACTACTGCTTTTCTTGCCGAAATTGGCCTTTTCTTGTTTTCTAATTCTTCCTCATTCATTCTTGGAAGATTGTATGTTTCTAAAAACCTATCCGTTTGATCTAGGCTATCCAGTTTATGGGCACAAAGATTTCACTGTATTGTTGTATAATCCTTTGTGGGTTTGAGCTATTGTAACTTATGCCTTTATTTCTGATTCTACTTGTTAGAGTTTGCAACTTTTTTTTTTTTTGATCCCTTTGCTTTCACTTTTGAATTGTCTTTTTGATTTTCATTTCAATTCTAATTTTTGGTACTTTTTTTTCTTCTAATAGATTTTATTTTAATTTCTACTTCTTTCTCTAGTTTCTAAAGGTGTAAGTTCAGATTTTGAGCTCTTTCTTATTTGCTGATATAGGTCAACACTGCACATTGCCATAAACTTCCCTCTTTTGCTGTCCCATATATTCTGGTAACTCATATCTTCAATTTCTTCCTCTTGTGGGTATTTTTAAATCTCCCCTTTGATTTTCTCACTAACTCAGTAGTTATAAAGTAGCAGGTGTGCTTAGATTTTACATATTTAAGATTTTTGTTTTTTTTTCACTTTCTTTTTGTGGTTTATGCTATTGTGGACAGAGAAGATACCTGATAAATTTTCAGTTTTCATAAATTTATTAACAGGTTATTTATTTATTTCTATTGGTTACCAAATGAAAAGAATGTATACTCAGGTTTTTTGGTGTATAGTACTTCATAAGTGTCTATAAAACCCACAGGTGTTAATTTCTCATTTGAGGCTGTTTATTAGATAACCATGTGCTCTTTTAGTGTTACAGAGTTGTATATTTAGTTTCTTCCCCAGATTTGGGGAATTTTTCCTTCGTTATTCTAAGAATATTATCTTTGTCTCCCCTCCCCCCCTCCTTTTCCTTATATGTTACTAATTATTTCTATCTAGTCTTCCTTAGTGGTGTCAGATAGTTCTGAAATACTTTGTTTTTTTAAACACCTTTCATCTGACCCTTTATTTATTACTATCTTCAAGGCCACTGATTAGATCCTCCATATAGTCTATTCTACTTTTAATGTTTTATCTAGAAATATTTGTTATTAATAAACTCTGCATTTTGAATCTCTGCTGTTTTATTTAAATGTTCAACTTCTAGCTTCTGTATATCAACCTGATTTTTGAGCTTATTTGCTTGTTTTTCTGAATCTTCTTATATCTCTTTGATTAGATTTTCTGAGTTTGTTTGCATCTCTTTGAGTTGTCTTTCTGCATTATCTTCTCCATTTGATTTTCTTTATTATAACAATTTTGATCTACTTGGTAGGGCAATATAAGCTTCCATGTTTTGTGGTTGGATTCTAGAGAGTTGTTCTACTTGTGGTGACATAATACTTTGAAAGTTCAAGTTCCCATGTCTACCCATTTTTGTCTACCCATTTTTATGCATTAAATTTTCCTATTAAGAGTTATCTATAACAGTAACTTAAGAGAATTTATTGCTTTTGTTTTTCCTTCGTGTAGCAGAAAACAGTTTTTATTTATTTACTTCTGGCGCTTGTTGGTTTCCAGAGTTAGAGACCTGTTTTGGCAGTTTCAGTGTCAACAGCAGAGATGCCTGTAGTGATTCAGTAATTGGCACAAATGTGCTGGCAGGTTTGTGCTCTTTCATGTTTGTGGCCCAGTTGATATCCCTTCTCTCTGGGTTTGCAGCTATGAGATTCTGCTGTCCATGAACTTTCAGTGTGATTGATGAAGTCAGTAATAGTCCCAAAGGTGGGCATGGTGATAGTGTAGTCTAGAGCACTTTGTTCTTACCAGGGACCCCCTCTGTGTGGAGACACCACATCTTTTCCCCATGGTAAAGTGTGTGTTCCTTCATCCCACTAGTATTTCCCTTGTCCCTCTGTCCCTGCTGAGCCAGCAGATTGTCTGTATCTTCTGCTCCAGCTTACAACTCTAGATGTTTCTCTCCACTCACTTTCATTCAATTTTTCTCTTTCTCCTCTCTCTGCAATCTGTTTCTGATCCAAACAGTGCTTCAGTTTTGCCCCAAGTCACAGGACCCTCTAGGTATAGTATCCTTCTGTTTCATTCTTAGATGTTTCTCTCAAGAACCGATTCTGTCACTATCTTGGTGATGTCATTATCTTGGGGATGTCACTATCTTGGGGATGTCATGTGGAATCCATTACTTTTTCTTTTAAGATGTGGAAATTTATACTGGATTTTACAGAAAATTCAAACTTATATAATTACATACCCCATACTATTTTGGTAATTTTGTTTTCTAAGAAGGCTAACTTTAATAGATATTCTATGATTGACAACAGGTACACAGCAGTAAGGGGTATTAGTCATTATAAAGAATTTCTACTAAAAGAAAGCTTTATTTTGGATTGCAGGTAACACAATTAATGATTTCAAGGCATGACTTCATGAAATTAACTTTGTCTTAAATGTTTCACATTTCTCCTTTGCTTCAAAGTGTCAAAAACAAAGATGTGGCATTTTAACAATTCCTTCAGCTCTTCTTTTACCACTGAAGAAAAAGAACAAGGATACTAAATTTAGAAAAATAACAAATGAACATTATGTTTGGGTTTATTTAAAATGTTGCCAAGAGGTCGGGCTATCTTTGGAGCTTGCAAATGTTTTTCTACAAACATTATTTCTAAGAATGTTAATTGCTAAAAGAAATTTTGACACAAGTCAATGTACCTTTGGGATGTTAGATCTCCATTCTAGGATGATTTCTATGGGTTAAGTATTATATTGCCCTTGATTCCTAACAAGCACCATCACTCTCTGCAGCTTCATATTTAGTGTGGTCCCTGCGGACAGTCAGGTATAAAAAAAAACTTGAGTGCCATGATTAATATAAAAAATTAATACAGCATAAAAATAATTTAAAGTTAAAATAAAAGTTTGTTTGCTAAGCAAGTGTTAACATTTTATGAGATTTGTTTTTGTTCCTTTGAAAAGCAAAGAAAAACAGAACAGTAACAGAACTAAGGTATTCAAACCAACATACCATGTCCTTCTCTGCTTCATCATATTTTCGATACAATGGGTTAGATATCTTATCATTTATGCTACATAATAAGAACTCCTTGGGCATGTACACAAATATGTGCTTCTTATGTAGCAGTAGGGAGTGCTTCTGCTTCTAGACTTGTCTGAACTCAAGTTAAAAATCATAATCCACACAGTCATTGTAGTGTTCTGCATTGCATCAACAGACATACGCATCTTGCTGTTAATTTATTGGAAAATGTGATATTTGCACCATATGTCTAGACTAGCCCTACATGGAAATATGAGTGAATGAACAAAACTTTCTATTCTGTCACTATTATTTTTGTGTGTTTATAGAATGCACAAGGAAAAAAACAGAGTGGGACAAAAAGAATCGATCAGCTCTTAGTTCTGAAGTGGCTGTTAGAAATTATAAAAATGGTGCCTTTGCTTAGAAGATGTGTGCATATAAAAGCTTGGAATGCTTAATGCTCAAAATTTCCCTTAAATTATATAAATGGAAGTAAACATTTATTACCATTTGGTCAAGTATAAGCATAACTTGCATTCATATTTCATTGTTAGTAATGGAGGTATGTGGAGATATACACACCTTGAGACAGCTTTTTTTTTTTAATATTGCATACAGGCTAGCAATTCATTGAAAGTAGAAGAGATAAGCCTGAAGGTTATATCTTAGAGGAAGGCAGTTTTTCATGCACAGCTTTTGTCAATCCTGATTTGGTTTGAAAATAAAAATCATGGAATACCAAAATCAAAGGAGAGTTGATTTGGGGAAAGGGTGGGGGAAGAAGGATAATCCCAGAAAGGGTGATGTCACTGGCCAGGAAAACATCAGGTGAGTTTCCATTTCCTCATTCAAGTCCAAAGGTGCTCGTTTCTTCTACTGCTGTTAACAGCTTTTCATACAACATGGAGTATGAGGGATAAGGTGGAAGATCCAATCGATTGAAGCATGTGTGTGCCCTGAATGAGGGAGAAAAGATTGGTAAAAGTGTTTGTTTCAATGATACAAATGGTTTGGATATATCTGTGATCAGTCTGAAGCTGTGAATCAACAGTGAGTTGATGATTTTGGACCACCATAAAACCTTGCAAGCTAAGAATCATAGGGTCATAGATATGAGTAAATCAATTAAGGAAATGGAGTGACTAGAAACATGTGGTGTGCACTTGTAAGCAAACTACACTAAACACAAATTATAGTAAAAACCAATGAAAAACTCCATGGTATCAGCTTTATTTTATAACAAAGATATGAACTTGGATATGCTCAGTGCAGGAGGCAGAAACAGAATTAGTATCAAAGGTTCATATTCCCAAGTCTCTTTGCTCAGTTCTGATTTCAGGATCTCATAAACAACCAGGTAAATTGATTTTGAGGTGACAACAGATGTCCTGGAATTCTAATATCCAAATGCATTTTCAATTCCTATGTGCTTTCGATACATTTTGGCTTCTTAACACTTGCCAATGCTATAGGCCTAACCTGAAGTTTAAGTGCTGCATTTCTAAGAATACATAAGTTTGCAGGATTATTATCACTAGATGTCTGGAGAATCATCATGCCATCTGCCCTGGGTTCAGCTTTAGTCATCAGTCTGAGGTCCAGGACACACATCTTTCTCTTGTAGAACTTTGAATGGACTGAAGCTACTCCCTGTCACAAGTTCTGTGAGTATATGGAATCTTTGGTTGATGCTGAAACCTGTACCAAATTAGGGAGAAAGGTGGACTGGTGCTACTAGAGGCTACTTTAGTGTCTTTTGCTCCCTCAGGTAGGTGAGATATTAAAAGAGTGTTTTGAGAAATCAACTAGCACAGATAGGACACTAAATTAAAACAATGAAGTATCACACAACAAACCTATCTACTAGTAAAACATCAACCAATAAATAAATGAATAAAACTAACCAAATCACTAACCAAAAATCTATTCTTCTGCCACTAAAATTTCATTTAGGTCACCAAACTATTATTATAATTATAATATTTCTGGAAATTATATATTATTTATACCCTTGTTTTCAGAGTCCTGGGTCAGACTGAAGTAGTGTTTGGGTCATGGGGAAGGCTTTTTGGGAGGTGGGGAGGTTGGAAGAACAGGAAGATGGGTTTTCTGCACGGAGGGAATTGGGGAAGACGCCACAGTTTATGACTCACAGCATCCATTCTTCCTTCTGGTAACAGCTTCTTCATTGTCCAACTTTCCCAACCTCTACACACCCCACCCCCAAGCTCTAAGGGTGTTCATGTAACAGTGAAATAATTGGCCTTAGGCATAAGGACTTCAGTAAGAAGAAATACAAAATTAAAAATTGTTTTACAGAGGACTTATAATTTTTTAATCTAAGATTTAAACAAGCCTATATTAATTTAAGAAAATCTGAAATATTTTACCTCAATGTATTTTAAGAAAGTAAAAGTCAGTAAAATTAAGTAAGATAACAATTACAGTCATCCCTTTCTGGTTACAAAGATTGAAACCAAAGTAACCCCTGTACTATGGTTAAATAAATTAAATAGGACAGAAAAATCTCAACTGTTAACTTTGCAACTGGCTGAAAAACCAGGAGTGAACAAGAAGACATCATCTTCTTGTTTTCTTACTCAGATCACTTAAACTGAGATTTGTGGATGGAAATAATACAGAAAAGAAGATTTCATTTTTACAAAAGCATTAGAACCAAATTAATTCTGTAAAAGATGACTCCTAGGGATAAACTGAAAACATTAGCTAATGACACCACATCACGACCTACTCTGAACACCTAGAGCTTTTTCAAGAGTTGCTTTTGTTATACTTACCCACATTGGTAGTTAATTTTCTCAAATAAATTTTAGTTTGTGACTTAGAATAAATTTACATAATAAAATTATGATTTGATTAAACATTCTTAAGTGCTTGCTGCCATCCAGATGTGATTCTTACAGCATTGGATACCTGTCTACCTGCCTCCCTGTGTCCAGGAGTTTCTCCTGCGTTGGGAAAGGTGGGTGGTTGAGAAACCATGGGAGCCATTAACTTTACTATCTTCGGAAAGTTTATTAATCTTTTTGCACCTCGGCTTTCTCATTAATGAAACAGGTCTAATTTCACATGCTCTGTTCACCTCCAGGGCTGATCGTTGTGAGGATTAATGATGCAACAGATGTGAATGTTCTTACGATATTATGAGTCATTATTTAAAATAAAATTCTTTTAATACAACCACAACTGCCATAATACTTTTATGAATAATGTTACACCTGTGAAGACTTAGGACCATCACTGGCAAATGAATCACCCATGTCTCTTATTTGTGCAAATGTTAATTTGGAGTGCTACATGGCTGTTTTTAACCACATCAGATAAAATTTCATTCTATTGGTGTTAATTGGAGGGTCTCGATAGTTTGGACTTATTAATGTTCCTTCAACATATTTGTGCAATTGATCTTTTTGTCACCTCAATTATTTCTAAGTTATTCATTAACATGTTAAGCCAGTACATTGCTACCACTTCCTGTAACCCCTTCCACCATTACTTGTTTCTCAATGCTCACCCAAATGCCAGTTTCCTTATGGTATCCTTATAGACAACTCAATCAGAAATGTACATTCTCACAGCACTTTGCTTTCACCTTCTCTTCTTTTTGCTTTTCTGATTCTACTTCTGCTATAATTAATTACTAATAGCCTGTGTTCCCACATTGTAAGTTTCTCTGGAGAAAGAAGTACATGGTTGTACCACACGTAAGATACATACTAGAAGGGGAGGTTCTTATTAAGTGGGGATTCAAACTTATTTCTCAAAGATAAGTGGAGACTGTTTCCTAGTAACTCATCTAATAAATCTATCATTAAACTAGACAAATAGAAATCATGCCTTTTGGTCTTATTTTATTGCTAGATTTATTTAAGTAGGTCATCAGTAGAACCTTGCAAATGAGCACTGAAAGTCTATTGAACTAAGTGAGTGAAGCCAGAGATGAAAATAAGGACAAAACTTTAAGCTGTTATTAACTAGCTGGCATGCAGTTTTCTGAACTCCCTCATGATCAACCGAATCAGATAAATATTCTACAGGACACTAGTAAATCTGGGAAAGCCAGATAAATAGCACAACTCAGTAAATCCTCCTACAATAAGGATTTGACGAAAATATCTGCGCGGTCATACAGAAATAGAATTAATTAAATGCATATGTTCCTTTATAATTAAAAATATCAAGTATAAGAAAATAGTATTTTCTATTTGTTGAGTAGTATGTATTACCATCATGCCTATATAGAAGTAGCTCTTTAGTGTTTCTTATTTTACTGATCAGGATAAATAAGCCACCTAAAGGAATAGAAAGAACTCAGGAAATGTTGGGATTAAAATTCATGGCATAGGAACTAATTCTGTTAAATTTTCTGGATCACCGGTGCCTTTTTTTTCCCTGCCTTTATTTCATAATAAATTCATCAGTAACTTATTATATAGAAGTTACTGTAGAGATCTGAGAAACATGTGGTATCATTCTCATATATTTTAAAATACAGTAAGAAAAATGTGAGGCTTGCATTCTCTTTGCACTAATGTCCTTTCCTCTTTTCCCCCTTTCAAGTTTAATTCTTAAATTAAATTGGACATTGTACATAGGCATGCCCATGGACCATGGTACTTAGCCCATGATACTACTGGCCAAACACAGCTAACCATAAAAACAAAACAAAACAAAGCCCCAAAAACTCCACTATGCTCTAAAGAATATGGTCTAAAGTCAGCTCCCATAGACTTCTTACTTACACCTTTTACTACCAAGTTATAAAAATATACTTTGAATGGCAGGGAACAATTCTATCTCAACAGATGATCACCCAAGCTCAAATAATAAGGTATACTTGGCCCTCTTCAGCAGGTTTCCCAAAGGTTGGCAGGAGCTCCGTATGTACCTGGGGAGAGATGTAATCTTCCCCCATTTCTCTATGCAGAAACGCCGAAGCCCATTGCTTCCTCTAAGGGCTGCAAAGCCTTCATAGGGCACACTTGAGGTTCCTGTGACAAACTGGAGTAATCTTAGTCTCTGCTCATTATTGAAGCGCTCCACTGCTGCCCAGAACCAGCGGATCACAAGATGCCCATCGTGATAACCTGAGCAAAGTAAAAGGAGAGAGAAATAAAAGGTGTGGAAACACGAGGGAGATGTATAGGGATAAAAATACACCAGGTATAATATGAAAGAGTGGTTACTTCTGATTTGCTGATTTCATTAGTGATGGCCATGAGACAGATGTAAAATAATTTGTGAAACTAAGTGAAATTTTGGAAAAAAAATAGATTGATAAAATAGCCACTTTGATAGAAATATTTTGTCTCGTGGTATGTCCTCAGAAATGTTTGTTTTCTGTAAGCAGTTGGGAGACGAACAATTTTTTTTAAAGATTTATTTATTTATGCATACAGAACTGGGGTACAGGCCAGAGGTACAGGGGTGGTGATAGGATTCACCAGAGACAGAGCAGGGAGCAGAACAGGAAGATTGAGAAGTACACTGCTGAGGGGAGCAGTGGGTGGATCAGGAGAGGTCTGCCGCGCCCTGTGGCTCACCTCTGGGGCAGGAATTGAGCTCCTGCTGAAGTGGCTTTAGCTTCTTAATGTTGCGCTTTAACCCGTTGCACCACCTGGGAGGGCCTGAGGCCAACAATTTATCTACTTCATGTAAACGTAGTTAATGAATGGCAGTGCCCCCTCCCTGGTGGTGCAGTGGGTTAAAGTGCAGCACCATGAAGCTTGCCTCAGCTGCTTCAATCCCTGGCCAGGGAGGTGACCCACATGGCATGGCAGACCTCTCCTGATCTGCCTGCTTCTCCCTTCAGCAGTATATTTCATTGGTCTGCCTGTTCTGCTCCCCACTCTGCCTCTGGTAAATTCTCTCACCACTCCTGTACCTCTGGCCTGTATCCCAGTTCTGTATGCATAAATCAATCTAAAAAAAAAACAAAAGTTAATGAGTGGCTAGGTTTGGAAGAGGTCTTTGGGATTCTTAAGAGACAAACCCATTTCAGGATACAATATGTCATCTGATTATTTTGTTATGATGTTTTAACTCTTCATAATCACTTTGGATTAAGAAAGTCTGAGGAAAGGGCCAGCTTGGTGAAGAATAGATGTGGACTCTCTAGCTATCGTTAGTTCCTCTGGAATAGATTTTCTGGATAAACTGATTAGAGAGGAGAGGGGTGTAAGAAAGAAGTATTGGGCTTTTATTACAGCTTAATTGAGTGTCCAAGTGAAGCTCAGTTAAGATAAGTATTTCACCACTTATTGCAAGTGCAAGAGGCATTTGAAAATGGGAGAAATCTACATGGTCTGGGGTAGAAACAAGGAAACCTTTGTAAAGAAAGTGAGACAACAGTGGAGCATGTGAAAATTTGTATGAACAGAGAAAAGAAAGGTGATATTTCTAGCAAGGAAATAAAGAATAAAATATCAAGGAAGAAATATTCAGGAAACAACAAATAACTGCTATAGAGAGTATTCTAGTATAGTGCATGTTCTCATGAAGACAGAAAAGAAACTTGCTCCGAACCTCAGAGGGCCTCAGTAGTGGAACAGATTTTGTACCTTTTGACTTGTCACCAAGAAAGACTGAGAGGTCCTAAGAGATTTCTGGAGACAAGGGGAGATGATAAAGATTGCTCTCATTATTTTTTTTTTATAAGTTTATTTTTACATCATTTTGTACATTTTTTTCCCATCTCAATTGTAATCCCTGTGGGTTTCCCACCACCAAGTCAACCATGTGCCATCTCCATAATCCCATTCACTTCCCTCTCCACCCCCCCACCCCCGTTTTTTATCCCATTCCCCACTCCACCCCCCCTGGTATATGGTTGTTCATTATTTTTGTTATTTTCTCGCCTGGTCCATTATACTCCTGCTATGAGTGAAACCATCCAGTATTTTCCTTTCTCTTTCTGGCTTATCTCACTAAGCATGATCTTTTCCAGCTCCATCCAAGTTGCTGCAAAAGACATGTGTTTCTCTTTTTTGGTTGCTGAGTAATATTCCATTGTATATATGTACCACATCTTTTTAATCCAGTCATCTACTTTTGGGCATTTGGGCTGCTTCCATGTTTTTCCAATTTTAAATAAAGCAGCAATAAACATTGGGGTGCAGGTATATTTTTCAATCAGTGTTTGTGTGTCTTTTGGGTAGATACCTAGGTGTGGGATTGTTGGGTTGTAGGAAAGCTCCATGTTTAGCAGTTTGAGGAACCTCCAAACAGTTTTCCATAGTGGCTGTACTAGTTTGCATTCCCACCAGCAGTGCAGGAGAGTTCCTTTTTCTCCACATCCTTGCCAACATTTGTTGTTGCTAGTTGTTTGAAGATGTGCCATTCTCACTGGGGTGAGGTGGTATCTCATTGTAGTTTTAATTTATATTGCCCTCATTTTTAAAATTCTTTCTCTATTGTATTAAGTGGGGGTTCTATGAAATATTACACATGATTTAAAAAAGGGTTTAGAAGGTAAAAATAACTTTTAGAAACCTCTTCAATAAGTAATAAGGAGCTTATTTTGTGGGTAAAGACGTGTCCTGATACAAACAAAGTTTAGGAAAACAACGTTGGTATGTGAAGGCGGAGGCTTTAGAAATTAAATTTGGAGAGACAACAGCTAGAAAAACCCTGTCATGGCACTCCAGAATTGAGGTGAAGAGGGCTCTAGTTTTATAGGAAGTGAGATACACTTGTATGCCAGATTGTAATCCATTTCAGGAGCTGATCTGTTGATGGTGGGTCTATGTCAAGATGGTGACTTAATAAAGTATCTATACCTCATGAACCAGAGATTAATGGGGGTTACTATCACTTAAGGGAAATTCAGGTTAGAAAGTAAAGTACAGGGACCGATATAAAAGCAAGTTCAATTTTTTTTGTAGTGTTCAAAAGGTGACGGAATAATATATATATTATTGCATAAATTGTGCACAAAAAGGAATGATGTACTGAAGTACACTACAACTTGGACAAAACATGAAACAGTCTGGTGAGTGAAAGAAGCCAGGTACAATGGGGGCACTTGGGCACTTATTCTATGACTCTGTTCGTGTGAAATTCAAGAATAGGTATACTGATAGAGAGAATGTAGATAGGTGATTTTCAGGACCAAGGGGAGTGAAGAAATATTTTCTGTTGGGATGATGAAATTTTTCTGAAGCTGGTTAGAAATGAGGGTTGCATATCATTGAGAATGCTTCTTCATTGTTCATTTAAAAAGTTAATTTATCTGGAAAAGATCATGCTTAGTGAGATAAGCCAGAAAGAGAAAGAAAAATACCGGATGGTTTCACTCATAGCAGGAGTTTAATGGACCAGGC